CCTGAAGCAGGCCCGGGCGAGCAAAGATTTCATCGCCGCTGCCGGACTTTACAAGTGTAAGGTCTGCCTGGACACAGCTCCAGTGCCCAGGCACCACCCAGTCGCTGGGGATAGCGTATTTCCAAAGGAATTCAGTTCAATCATACGATAGGTATGGATGCGCTTGAAGTCAAGGACTTCTTCGGAAATCGCTATACTGCTGTCAACATAGTTGACATGGGGACCAGTTTCCAGCAAGTTGTGCTCGTGAAATCTGGAGGAGGCAACCCGAGTGCCCGCCAGTGTGTAAAGTGCCTGATCGACAGGTGGATCAGCTGGGCTGGACACCCCAAGGTCATAGCTACCGACAGAGGGACGCACTTCAGAGGAGAATTTTCGGAGTATTTGGCACAGCATGGTATAGTCCATAAGAACGCCCCTCTCGAGAGCCCGCAGACCATCGGAAAGGTCGAGCGCCATGGTGGTCTCGCCAAGGCCATCATTAGGAAGGTCGCGCAGGAGGCTCAGCCCTCGAATATCGAGGAGATGGAGGCGGTTGTCACCGAGAGTGTTACTACTAAGAACGAGCTTAGTAGACACGAAGGATTCAGCCCAGCACAACACGTGTTGGGAAAGCAGCCCCGAACACCAGGATCCGTGCTGGATGAGGCCGAAAGCCTTGGTACATTGTTTACCAAGTACGACGAGACGAGCGTATACTACGTTCGGCATAGGGCGCGGCAAGAAGCCAAAAAGGCCTTTGTACATTTAGAGACCTCTCGCAAGGTGGCTAAAGCATTACAGTGTAATGCGGCGCCAATGGACGTCGAGTATAAGGTCGGCGATTTAGTTATTTACCGTAGGGACAACGTACCTGGTAACTCAGGTGTCGTATGGTCCACGGTTAGCCGCGTCATAGGACGCGAGGCAGAGAATGCATACTGGGTGTTGCACGAGAACATCCCTGTTCTAGTCAACGCCCGGAAGATGCGCCCTGCCGATGAAGTTGAAGTTGCAGCACATCGCGTTTTGGCAGGTGAACCAGTACTTCCGGAAGCCATTGTACATGGACCGGAACAAAGGTTCCAGGATGAACGCACAGCGGACCCGGTCACCGCACCGGCGACGCCACGACCAGTGGCTGCAGCTGCCCCGTCTACACCGGCGGTTGCGTCTGCGGTGCCTATGCCAGCACCATCGACGCCGGCGGTGATGCCTGGCACACCGATGCCGGCACCATCTACTCCCGCGCGGGTTCGTGCCAAAGATAAGACGGGCGAAATCGCCCGGTCGCGATCGCCAGTAGGAGGCCGTGACGACGCACTAGTTGCGGAAGAGCTTGACCAGGTAGAAGTCATGGCAAGACGCCTGATAGATGCTCAGGGGTTCTCCCCAGATGAGTGTCTGGCCCTCCTTCGCGCTTTCGACCGCGACCGACGCGAGGCATACACACGCCCGCTCCTAGATGATGGAGATCCCGCGAGTATAGCCCTCGCGGTTGGCGTTTATCGACATGGCGGTCTTGTTGGTGTCTCTGGACCGACGCGTGAAAGGCCGTCGTTCGCTATGTACCTCAATCACTATCTCTTGCATCACAGTATGCGAGCCGGACATCACAACCCACAGTGGAGTAGTGTTCAGCTTACGAACAGAGGCGCAGATGCCCATAAAGACCTAGCCAACACTCCTGGCTCGTTTAACTACACTATGGGTGTGGGCGAGTATCGTGGAGGCGGTCTATGGGTGGAAGAAGCCACGGGTACAACTCCCGTGCGTGTTCAGAACGCGACAACGCATGGCACTGTTCATGACACTAAGAACAATGTTCTTAAGTTTCGCCCAAAGGACGTGCGCATGGTCGCGCCGTTCGTAGGAGAACGATCTAGCATTTCCGCACACACGGTGAGTGATCTCGGCAAACTGTCTAAAGATGACATACAGCTTTTGTCGGATCTAGGCTATCCCATATACAGGGATACGCCGAAGACTTTTGGTAGGAAGAGCGATGGGATCTACACCATGGGTCATTCGGACCTCCCCATCGAGACGTTCCTGGAGCGCACTCATGAATACGGGATCAAGGAAATCGTTGACTGTAGGAGTCACCCGTATAGCGTTCGACACCCACAATACAATTGTGATGAGCTTTCTGCCACATGCTTCGCAAAAGGTGTTGTGTACAGTCACGCCCCCGAGTTAGGCAATAGAAACCGGAGTGGAATTGAGGCCAACTTGCAGACGGACCAAGGGCTCAGCACGATCGCTAGAATAGTTAGCGAGTCCCATGATGACTTTCACCGGACACTTCTTTTATGTTCGGAAGCCAGCTGGCGGCGATGTCACCGGCGAAATATCGCCCAGCACTTATGGCTCGAGCACTCGAAACTCGCGGAGCACATACGTGCTAACGGACTGCCGGAGACCCATCCGTGCCACTACGTTCCTGCTGAGGACGATGGGCTGGCAGCAGCATCGCACACAGCTGCGATTGGCGTGGCACCGCCAGTAGTCGAGCCCGCAGATGGTCGCGAGGCGGAAACCAAAGCCTTTGCTCTCACCCCTGACGGGGAAGATGCCTTCGGCTCCAATGTCGAGGTAGGCTACATGGCTTCGCTTTTGGACTATCATAAGGCTCCCGTGGAGGTGCAGTTAGGCCTGGACGCCGCGATGAAGACCGAGTGGCAGAAGTACACCGAGTTCAATGCGGTGGTCCCTTGCACAGACAAGGAGTTCAAAGAGCTTACAAAAGCCGGCCACGTGTGTATCCCCACCAAATGGGTTCTTACCGATAAGAACGAGCACCTAAAGGGGACAGCAGCGTACACTCCCAAGTGGAAAGCACGCTTGGTCGCATGTGGAAACTTCGAGCATATCTCGAATGAGGAAGACATCAGCGCAGACAGCCCCACGGCTGAACCAGAAGGCATAGCCCTTATCTGTTCATGGGCGGTTTCGTTGGCCCTGCGGCTCAAAGCAGCCGATATTACGAATGCATATTTCCAAGGGAAACCCCTTGAGCGCCTTCTCATTCTTCGGGTTCCCAAACACCCCAAGGGTGTGCCCGATGCAGAGATACAGAAAGCCGGGTATATGATTGCCCGAGTCCCCGTATACGGCACCACCGACGCGGGGCGGAACCTTTACCTCCGTATAAAGGAGAGTTGTAAGGAATTTGGCTTAAATGCCTCGCAAATTCTGTCAGCCCTGTATTTCATTACAGGAGAGAATAATCGTTTGTGTGCTTGCTTGTGCACCCACGTGGATGATTTCCTGTGGGCTGCTACAGCCGAAGGCGAGCCAGCTATCCAGAATCTGCTGGATAAGTTTAAGATCGGTCGCATAGAGACTGAGAAGTTCCGTTTCTGCGGACGCGAGTATGTGCAAAGCGCCGATGGGACTATCAGTATAAACTGTAGGGACAACACGCGTGCAATCCGCCCGATTGATATTCACAAATCGGAGAAGGGTTCGACCCCAGTTTCGAATGGCCAGCGCACAGCGCTGAGGTCCGTCATAGGCTCGTTAGCCTGGGTGGCTCGCGCCACGAGACCCGACCTTGCCTATAGAGTGAACGCCTTACAGCAACGTGTTACGACAGCCACGGTGGATACGCTCCGTGAAGCAAACCGCGTAGTGGCGCTTGCGTTGGGAGATGCGGATAGGGCAATCACGTACAGCGCAAAGTTACCCTGGAGCACAGGGGAATTGGCAGTTGTTACGTTTTGCGATGCCTCTTTCGCAGGAGAAGCGAACCACAAGTCGCAGCGAGGACGCTTTCACTATCTCACTTCCGCACAGTCGGCAGTGGACAAGAGTGCACCGGTGCATGAGATGCACCTCATTTCGTTTTCCTCATCCACCATGAAACGGGTTTGTCGTGCCACACTGCAGTGTGAGGCTTACTCGTTACAGCATGCCATAGAGCATGGAGACCGCATACGTGCGGCCGTGCTCGAAGTGCTTGGCAAGCTACCCCGGTCACAGAACTGGGAAGAAGTCGCAAAGAGATCGATGTTCCACTTGCAGTATACAGACTGTAGGTCCCTCTCGGACCACTTGACAGCATCGATTCCAAAGTCATGCGAGGACAAACGCCTCGCCATAGAAATGACTGGGCTGCGCCAAGGGCTCTGGGAGGAAGATGAGCCGACGCACAGCCTGCATCACCCATATGGTGATGAGTTGAGGTGGATACCCACGCATCTGCAACTCGCGGACTGCCTCACCAAAAGCATGAAGCCGCTTCTGATCAATCAAAGTATTGATCGCAACCTTGTACAGGTACTTGATGTGCCCGCGCCAGCCGCACAGAATACGGAAAGTACCGAAAGCACTCCGCTTGAGCACTGAAGAACTCAGCCTTGAGCCTTGAGTCGCCGCACTCGGCTCGGTTGACCGTGCAAGCTCCCGGTATAATCCGGCGAAGTAGGATTGGTCCAAAGCGACCAAATTCGAGCATGATTCGGACGTCACACTATAGAAAAGACGGGTGTGAAATTTCCCTGTCTTGCAGTGCCGTGTTGACAGTCCTCATGCAAGCGTAGTTTTTCATGTCTAGTCTGAACGCTTCTTTACTTGAAGACGTCTTGGGCTCGAATCGAAAATAGGCTTTGCTTGTGTGGTTGGACACTCTCGAACCAAGTTCCTGCTTCAAAACCCTAAATAGTAGGATCCTTACTATAAGGACCCCAAAATAGGGTCCCCCTAATTATCGGAAACTCCCAAGTCCCAAATATACCCAAATATACTAAGATATACTATAATATACTACAATATACGATCATATACTGGAGCCTAAGTCCCAAACTCCCCGCCCCCCCTAATTTTCAGAAGCCCTCAACCCTAAACCTTATAGAATCATTATAGATCCCTTTAAGGAACCCTTGAAACTCCCATAGAATATTACGGGTGCCTTATTCTGGGGTCCTTAAAATAAGGATCCTACTATTTAGGGTACTATATTAGGGTCCCCTATCTTCGTAAACTCCCAAAAGATAGAAGTTATTCTTGGCTCCAGAAAGGCCTTGGCGCAGTCCGTCCGTCTGGGATGCTTCGAGATGGTGGTGGAGAAGTCCATCAGGGAGACCAGGACATTTGAGAAGAGGGCTTGAATGTTTAGGGCGAGGGCTTTGGGGGTAGATTTTAAGGTTTAGGGATGGTTTGCCCTCCTGGTTCCAGGTTGATGTCCGTCGTAGTAGAATGTGGTAGTATACAGCAAGCCGGGCAGAGTACCATGTGCGGGGTGAGGAGCATCCCTGAAACCTTGGCCGACACGGGAGAAGTCAACATGGAGGCTCAGACTATGCACGATCTTTTGCCTAAATGCCACGAGTGCTCTTCAGCTGTTAAGCTTAGCAGTACTGCTTTATTGCTTTGACAGTACTTGCTTGCGATGAACATTTCGAATGTTGTCGTTACTAGCCCTTTTGCAGCCACCACGACGACTGACACGGCTTCTACTGCACTGTACTTCCACTGCCTGTGCCACTGCCACTGTCACTGGTGGTGGTTGTAGTGGTAGGGAGTAGTAGTGGTGGTAGTAGTAGTGGTTGTGGTTGTTGTGGTAGTGGCAGTGACGGTATGGGTAGTGGTAGTAGTAGTAGTAGTAGTAGTAGTAGTAGTAGTAGTAGTAGTAGTAGTAGTAGTAGTAGTAGTAGTGGTAGTAGTAGCAGCAGTAGTAGTAGCAGTAGTAGTAGTAGTAGTAGTCGTGGTGGTGGTGGTGGTACTCCTAGTCGTATTCGTAGTAGTAGCAGCGGCAGCAGTAGCAGCCGTCGTTCGTCGTCGAGGCAGATGCAGTGGTACTAGGAGCAGCAGCAGCAGCAGCAAGAGTAGTACCACATATTGTGCCACACCACACCTTACCATACCATGCCAATACACAATGCATATCATATTACGTTGTCTCGTGTCAGATCACATCGGCCTCATATCGTGGCATCATCACCATCATGTTGGTTTCTGGTTCAGTACCATTATCAGCATCACCCGGTTTCCACACATTTTATGTTGTCGTGACTACATGCAGCAGTACAGGCATCACTGCCAGTGCCGTCGACGTTGCCATTCTCCGATTACGACTTGAGTAGTGCGGGTTTGACAAAGACGGGTGGTCGAATGATACTTGTACGTCATACTAATTGTACTGTCGGGGTCTCTAATGTGGTGCACTTGCCAAGACGGGGTCAAATCTGCTGTTGTCTACAACCGAACCACAAGTCAGTCGCATCCCTCTAAAGTATGTAGCGTAGGGGTGTTAATTACGAGAAGGGGTTTTGAGGCCCGTTATACACTGTAATTGTAACAGTACGGAACCCCCAAAATCGCATAGGTAATTGCCAAGCCCTCTACATCAGCTGGTGCTCAAACGATCGGCTTGAGTTTGCAAGGCGCGTGCGCTCGCGAAGCAAATGGGCGCGCTGCTGATGTTGAGGCGTTGGCAGGGTTTAGGATTTAGCGTTTAGGGTGTAGGGTGTCGGGTTTATGGTTTAGGGTGTAGGGTTTAGGGTTTAGGTTGTAGGATTTGGAACGCATCTGATGCCGGAAGCTGATCCGTAGAGGTTCGTCTCCTCGCACTTTTCTGGTTAGAGATAGATGGGCCACTGATGCGAAGCAAAGCGTTGAGCGTGACCTATCATGCCGAACGATGCCTTCAGATGCGATGTTAACCTGCACACCGACATTCTCGACACGCCGGACATCTTCTGGGATGAGGAGAGGACTTTCCAAGTCAGTCGCTAAATATTTGGATGCTCGATAAGGCTAAGGGTACGTATTGTGCTTGGGGAGAATTCCTGCGTTCTTAGTACGGGTTTAATGCACTTCGGACACACGTTGGACAGGGTTCACGGATACGACCCGAAGCGGCAGGCCTGGCCTTGATGCGGTTCCGGATACGGCTTTCAGGTCGTTCCGACCAGCGCAGTGAATATTCCCAAGGGCATCATCCAGGGTATCGCAATCCTATTTGTGTCGAATTTTGACCCCTACTGTTATTGGAACCTGTTTGTGAACCCGGTAAAAGAAAATGATCCTGGAATCGGGGACGTGGCGAACGTGCGAAGTCTTGGGCAATAAAGGCGTTTGGTGCCTATTGTGCTGGGTTTCATGACGGCAGCATCCTGGGTTGGCTTCCTTGGACGGCCCGTCATGGGGTCAGTCCCTGTGACAACAAAGAAACTCGTGAATCAGGGAGGTGGCTGTGGGTAGTGCGGGAGGGTTTGCGTAAGCTCTGCTGCAGCTTCAGTCGTGTGAAGCCGTTCCTTCGAGGGTCTCCTTGCCAGGAGCGGTTTGAGAAGATCTATGTGGCCTGCAGAACGTACTTGGACATCGAACCTTGTCTTCTCTTGTAACATGTGCTTGCCTCATGATGGAGACCACGTGACCTGCAGAGTGTATTTACTCTCTTGCTTAGGCACCGTGCCAGGGACTGCTTCAACATGCTTGGCTGAAAGTCACTAACTACACTGAAAATCAAAGAGCCTGCAACAAATTTCCCAGTCTGAGGACAAGCGAGTCGCACCTTTGCAGCATTCAGTTAGCAAGGCGGAAAGGATAAGACTTATGAACCTACTATGCACCTCGCGGACAGAGTTCACGGTCAGTTGCAAGATTGTGGCAACGAAGTCAGCTGAGGACATCCTCAACCAGCGTTTAGTCGTACTCAAGGATGCTGTCAGGGCATTTGGGCAGATAGGTGGATCGTGGAGTTTCGAGTTCAAAGCCTTCTTTAAGGGTTCTTTGCGCACAGAACTTGCTGTTGCCTGCAGGACTTGTATGACCTGCTGCAGAACAGCTTGAATGTGTGGCTGGCAACATTCGTTGTCCGCAGCGTGCTTTGCTAACACTCTCTCTGTATCGTTGCGATGCTGCAGTTTTGCCAAAGCTGTCAGAGCTGTGGCAGGTGAGCCACGAAACACGGCTCGAATGGATTGTCATAATATTGATCTTGGTCGAGGCGAGCGGGACATAAATGTGTCCTCTTTCGACAGAAGACGGATTCTGACTGTCTGGAGCCTGTCGAACTCGCATCTGGTGCTTGGTAGACTACCTGACCGACTGAGTGTGCCATGATGATATTCGCACATCCACCCGCGAAGTGATGTCAGGTTGTGCTGGAAATCATCCAGCTCTACTTCACCCCGTCCGGGTAATCTCCGGGGGATGTGAGAGCCAGTGGCTGTAGATCGGCAGGTGGGAATTAACCCATGCCTTTGTAAACCTCAGGCTGCTTGCTTCAGTTAGGAAGTAGCTCATGTTAATGTCGAAGGCCACTTGCTGGTGGAGTACGACTGGGCGTCTGCGGTGTGGATGCTTTTTGAGCGACCCCCACAGACGACCCGCAAGCCTGAAGCCTGAAGCCCACCATTTCGCGGGCCTCATGCGCAAGGTCCTTAAGGATAAGATCAAACTTCCCGACTCCACCAACAGTGGCCGGGCTGTCTTTCGACAGGGCGAAGCTTCGATTTTCAAAAAAGGGTTTAGGAGTTTAGGGTTCAAGGTTCCGGGTTCAGGGTCGTGTATGGGCGGTGGCCACTGTATGCCCTTGACTGGACAACTGTGCAGCAACGGCCGTGCGTGTCGAACCGAGATGTGGCTGTCTCCAAGCTTCCCCGCCCCTGAGCATCTTGCCCCAGTGTGCTACAGTCGCTAAAGCACGAGAAGAAAGGCATAATACTAGAATGAGAGAGACTCGACAATGCATCTGGGAGCCCTGCACTGTAGCTTTGTAAGGGCTTCGGCTACGTAAACAGGATTCGTTGGCTTCGTGGTGTAGACTCGCTTAGACTTCTTTTCTGACGATTTGGGAGTGTATGACGGTGTACTTGTGTGTTTCTTGCAGTCTACAGCTGCATGATTCTTCATCTAAACCAATGGGCCGTGGGCAGAAGCGAAAGGCAGACTGCGACCTCCCCGATGCAAGTCCTGATCCGGAGGTAGTTGCCAAGCTGAGGGAGCTTCCAAGGCAGGCGCTCCTGGCGTTTCGCCGGGATTTGGCGCTGGAGCCCTTCGACTCCGCTCTCCGATGTCTGGATGGCACTTCGGGCTGCGACATGACCGAGCTGCTGCTCGAAGTTCCTCAGGAGCGTGTGGCCAAGTCTCTTACTGCGGCTTTGGGTGGCAGCACGTGGTGCTGGAGTTTCAGCTCCACGGTTGCTGCTGTGGACGGGGCCAGAAAAGCGCTGGGCACCATGCTCGAAGAAGGCCAACAGAAGCTCTTGTCCTCGCTGCGCGGCGGCAGCTCCTTCAGTGCCGCAGTCAAGATGCACAGCAGCAAGAGAGATGGGCAGCCGCTGCTGCGCCTTGGCAAGACGCGTGTGATGTGGTTGCTTGGCGCGAATCCAGAGGAAGGTGACGACGGAGCCCCAGCCCAAAGCACTGTGCAGCGCAAGAAGAAGAGGCGAAGAGGCAGACCGGCCAAGGCAGCCAAAGGTGCAGACGCCGCGGCCTCCGAGGGTCAGGAGCCAGACTCGAGTCTCAGCGAGAGCGAGAGCGGATCTGAAGACAAGAACGAGGCGAACTCTAAGAAAGGAGGTGCCACGCTGGCATTCCTCGAGACCTTACGAGCAAAGCGTGGCAAATGTTTGCCGTGCTTTCGTCAACAGTGCGGCATGATGTTGCATGGATGACTTGATGCAGCCCTTGCCCTTTCGTCACACGCATCCCCGTCATGTTGATCTTGAGCTTAGCGTTGTGGCCAGTCGCACCGCCACCTCCTCAGTTTGGCTCCAGAATATGCTCACCTCGTAGGTGCGGCATGGTGCAGTATGAGAGTCGCCTGCGAAGTTCAGTGAGCTCGTGCCTGAGCTTCTCGCTTGGTGCGCAAAGCTCACCCTCCGCTTCTACCCTAAACCCCAAACCCTAAACCCCTAAACCCTAGACCCTAAGCCCCTTCGGTCTCCGAAGCTATCCAAGGCGTGCCGCATGGTGCGAGCTGTGGAGGCCTTGCTCCTGGCACACCTGCTGGGGTGCCATGCCCTGCGGTCCGTCCATGAGGCAAGCCGGGCGGAGCAGGAGGAAGCGGCAAGACTTTGCCCTCAGTCTGTAGTATGGTGAGCTTACGATCTTCGAGGAAGTAGTGAGTGGTGGTGGGTGGAACTTGGAGGCATAACACGCTTTTGAGACTCGAGCTTGCCGCTGATGCTGAGAAGTTTAGGCATTGAGTCTGGCCTCGTCTGAGTGATGCTCTCAACCTTTTGTTCAGACGCTACAATAATATCAGAGTGATGCCAAAATAGTGATAGCCATTTCTAATCAAAAACTGAGGGCAATGATGACATGTCTAATATCAGTGAGAAGCCCGCGAAGGACTTTACTACTAGGTCAGGGTTCGTGACAGCCGCAAGCACCCACCTGCGAGGAAGCTGACCTCGTCGGAAACCTCAACGTGAGCTGCGCGGCTGCCTTCGCACCCTTGAAACCGCTTCTACTGATCCCTGAGTGGGCTATTCCGCTACTCCGATTCTCGTTTCATTGACTCGCTGGCCAGCCCCTAGACACCCCTCGAAGTTTCCACAGTAGCGATGGATCAAGCTGAACGGAGCTTTGTCGAGGCGACTTCCCTCCGCTCTGTGCTGAAGAGATCGTCACCAGAACCTGTGTGTACATCAACGGGGATGACAGAGGCATTTTGGGCGAGATCGCAACTTATGTCAGGGTTTTCGGATGTTTTCAGTCTAGGTTGAACACAACTTGGAGTCTACATACTCTTCGTCGGGTGGTCCGTTTCGTGCAGCCGTGCTCAGTCAGCAAGCATCAGAAAAGCAATGCGCCAGTCCAAAACCGAGCCGTCAACATGACCTTTGAAGGGCACCTACTTCAATGTTTGTTGACGTCGTTGCCAACTGATCCAATCAAGATCCTTTCTGGATGTGGCTCTTGCAATGGCAGAGGCGTGAAGATTGGACAAGGGCAGCTTGCCACGGTTCTGTCCAAGACGGATGAGCAGATCCGGACTTTATGGACCCTCGCCTGAAAAGCCGCTTGTTGGTCGCCTGGAGATCTGGTCGAGTGTGGACACCGTAAGTTTCCTAAGCCGATCTAAACCCCTATATCTATATCTAAATACCCTCAACTGACTAAGCCCTAAAGCTCAGGAATCTCATTGAGCTTCCGGACGAGCTGGCCACCTGCGTGGATGTCTGCAATGCCATAGCCGAGTACATCAAGGCAACCAATCCTTCGATGCGGAGAGCTGTGTAGAGTTCTGTATCAGTCTGAGCCGGCTTTATGCATGCTCCAGATCTTGACCATTATGTCCTTGTTACCCAGTTCTTGATTCAGAATGACAGGTGTGGACTTAAGCAGCAGCATTTTGCAGGACTGGCACATTCTTCCGCCGCGGAGTGATATTGCCTGCTACACCATCGGAAGAAGGCTGCGACATGCTGGCATCAGGTCTGTGGATCGTTTTGCCATCCGAGCGGAGATTCACCAACCTAGAAAGTTCATCGCTTCTTGTGACCGGACGTCCTTGCAGGTGGTTCTGCGATGCAGACGTGAGACCAGAGCAACTGAAAATATCTGGCCTTGCTGAGGACGACAGCTGGATGGTATCCGTGCAAGCTAGGTCTCAGCTCACACGAAGCCTGTACGTAATGTTGCCCACTGTTGGTTCAGAGGTTATTCTTGCACTGTTGTTTGTAATGCTGAATAGTTTGACGAGCGGGGCTTTATATGATGGTGCCCCCGGGCTACGATCACAATCGACATAGATCATGCCATTGTTTCAGTCCCTGTCACAACACCGCAGGATGAAGACCTGCCAGACCTTCATGACGAGGATGCCCTTGTGCCAGATTACAACTGTTATGATTAATATCCTACTGCTTATTCTTTCTTCTTCTTCTGACCATTCTAATTATGCTTGTTATTATTGGTATCCTACTTCTTCTTCTTCTTCACTTCTTCTTCTGATCAGTCTCACTATGGGGCAGCGCAAGTACGGGTGTTTCGGCCCGACGGCTGCGCGAGCATTGGTGCACCGAGCTGCAGCTTCTTGCTTGTCAAGTCCATCTCGACGGCCTCCTTAAAAATTCCGGAAAGCTCCGGAGCGTCCATATCAATTCAACCCCAAACCCCATACCCTAAACCCCAATGCAGGAGGAAAAGGAGATGTGCCAAAAAAAGCAGCTAAACCCCAAACCATGAAGCACCCGCAGAGATTTCCATCTCCGGAGGAGTCCCAGCCCATCGCCGGCGTGTCCTCCTACAAGCCCGGCGGGGCTTCGGCGCCCCGGCCGCAGCCGAGGATCCCCGGAGGCCCAGAGGCGGACTCCAGCCCTGGCCTCCGTAGGCAGGGCCCTAGGGATTTTGTTTTGGTCAGGGCTTAGTGGAGTTTAGCGGGTTTTGGGGTTAGGGGTGAAGGGTTTAGGGTTTACGAGTTTAGGGTTTCAGGGATTAAGGGGTTAAGGGTTTAGGAGCTTAGGGGGTTCGGAGTTTCTAGTTAGGGTTTAGGATTTAGATGGAATTGTGACCCAACACGACGAAGCCGCGACCTTCTGATCTGAGGTCGCAACATCCTGGCAGCTGGTCGAGCGTGTCGCGGCCTTAGACTTCAATGTGTAGGGTTTATAGGGTTTAGGGTTTAGTTAGTTCGGGGTTTAGGGTTATTGAACGGTTATTATGACACACATTCCCGGCAGGGGTAGTAGTCATCATGACAAAACAGATATTAATACCCCCTCATCGCGAAAACATCTGAGTCTGACACTTAGCTTTTAAACCCCCAGTCCTAGAAAACACAACAGCACACCCAGCCACCAAACCCTAAACCTGTCGGTCCTAGCTCTTAAGCCTAAGCCGGAACCCTCCAAAAGAGGTACTGTAATCTCTGGCCCAAAATCCGACGAGGTTGCCAACCTCTTCCGCATCTTCCCAGCGGAAGCGCCTCCTAAAGACCAAGCTCCTGGGCTGTCATTTCGATGTTTTGGGTTTGGTGTGAAACGCATGAAATGCGTGAGGGGCATGATTTTGCAGATTGGGCGGAAGGGCGGGAGCTGCAAACAATGCTGCAGCCGAGAGATTGCTCAGGAGCCCAATGCAGGGCTTAGCAGCTCGAGGGCTTTTAGTTTCCTTCCTGTGCTCCTGTAACCTTTCGTGGGCGCGCGCACTCATGAGCCTCTTTCCTTCTGAGACGGAGGCGCAAACACTGAACTCCATCGAGGACCTGCGGCAATGGTATGGCGTGGCAGATACGGCTTGGCAAGCTTTTCATTTGCAGATTGGCCAGCCGGACCTCCGTATCTTCAGCGCCTTGCCGGCCGAGGCCCTCACAGAGAACATTATGCTGACACGTGTTGGCACGCCTCCGGCCTCTCTCACCCCGGCACATGCGGTGCAAATTGGACTGGTGTGGCGCTTGGCAAATCGAATCTCCTTTGTGAAAGGCGGGGGCTCCTATTCCACCTGGCAAGACATGGACCCTTGGGCGAGGCAGGCAACCACAACACCTGGGCCGACAGTGGCACCAGCCCCGGCTTTGAAGGAGAGAGGCATCAAGATGTCCTCCGTCATCGACCAGTCGGACGACAGCGAGTTTGTGCCCGAGTCCCTGGCGAAGGCCGATGGTTGGTACCAGCGCTATCTCCGCGTCATGGGGGGCACACCCCAAGAGGAGGAGGATTGCGCAGTGGAACAGCTTTCTGCTCTGAACAAGAGGGTGCACACCTTGGACCTCCCGCCCTACGTGGACCTGGGAGTGTGGCAGCCGTACGGCAGAAGGGCCCTCCGCGCCAACAAGTTCCGGGCCTGGTTTCCTGATGGCTCCGGCGGCTACATCGCTCGCGAACTTCCGGGCCCAGCTTCGTGGGGCCAGTGGTTGGCGGCTTGGCGGGTTTTCCAGACGGCGGCCATTATGCTGGACATCCTCCCCTTGGCTTCGCTCCAGCTTTACGAGAGGCACGTGGAGAGGCTGGTGAAGTTGTACCCGACGGCGTGGCACCTCATAGTGCTAGCCGACGAGAAGGCCAGGGGAGAGAAGTGGGCACGCATCAGGCTGAAGATCGCGGCGGACATGGCATCGGGCAAAAGCGCCCCGGACCTCTGGGACACTCGTCGCCCATGGATCGCAGCACTCCACTTGCTTGTGGGCGACACGACGTTCTGGGAGGACCAGGTGAGATCCCCGGCCAATGCCTGGGTTGCTGCAGGGGGCCGTGGCGCGCCCAAGGCACCCGAAGAATCCTTTGTGGCCTCGCTGGGGAGTTTCGGGGCCGACCCTTCCGAAGCCGCGGAAAGGAAACGCACCACCAAGGAGAAGCGGGCCGCCAAGAAGAGGAGGATCCAAGCCGACAAGGAGGAGCTCAAGGTCCTTCGCGCCTCGACGGGTCAAGCCTCCAAAGGCAAGGGCGATGCGGGCAAATCCGACAAGCAGGGCAATCTCAAGTCCAAGGACCAGGCCGGGGACGACTTGTGCTTCAGCTGGGACGCGGGCAAAGGGCCGTGCGCAGACATCCCTCCGGGCGAAGCTTGCCGAGGGAAAGTGAAACGCATCCACAAGTGTCGCATATGCCTTAGCCCAGGTCACCGTAGTGCCGATTGCCCGCAGCGTGCTTAGGACTGTGATAAATTCTGCGTGAGTGTCTTTGCCTTGCCTTGCTCAGTCGGTGCCAGAGACAAGAGTGAGGTGCAAGCTCGTTGTGCGCTAGGTGGCATGAGCCGTTGCCGGGAGCCCTTTGGCACGACGGCGGCGGTGGAGCCGGGAGATAGTACGGTCCGATGCGCCTTGCGGCCCCAGGGCTCATGCGTGTGATGGCCTACTGCTTCCTTCACCTCTTTGCGGGCGCGCGAGACAAACTGGGCGAAGCCATCAAAAACGCAGCGACAGCCGAGGGCCTGGTGGTCGAAGTGGAGGCCTACGACATTGCCGGGGGCCACGACCTGACGGACCCCAGCCTCCTCAGGAAGATCATGGACAAGGCGCGGGGCGGCAAATACCACGCGGCACATGCCGGCTTCCCATGTTCCACCTTTTCAAGATTGCGCTGGAGGGAGGCAAGGGGCATGCCGGGGCCGGTGAGATCGAGATCCCACATCTACGGGCTGCCCTCCAACTCAAGGGCGCAGCAGGACGAGGCCGACCGTGGGACCCTCCTCGCTTGCATGTCTGTCACTGAAGGTGTTGGACTTAGTCGAGGAGAGCGGTGGCGGCGAAAATGGCACAAGGCCGGTGACCATCGAGAACCCGCCGGAGACCGATCATCCGGAAGCCGGCTCGGCCTATTACTTGCCCGAGGTGATGGAATGGACCAACCGCCGGGGCACGGAATACGCAGTGGTAACCACTGCGTCTACGCGGACCCGAGCCAAGGCGAGCAACCTTACAAGAAACCACAACGTTTCTGTGGAAGGCTGCGGGGGCTGTCGAAGCTCTCGGCTGTTTGCCGCTGCGGCAAAGGAGCAACCCACCCGAAGGTGGTGGGCACAGAAGCTTCGAAGGATTCTGCGAGCTACCCCGCCTCCCTGTGCGCCTTGTATGCCGAGACCCTGGTGAAACATTGGCTTCAGTCGAGCAGGGCGGCCCCGAAAAGGAAAGCCGATAGCCAGGACGACAAGGTCATCGAGGAGGCGGCTTGGGAGGGCGGGGCAGGCAAGTTCGGCAGTCTCGTCACCCAGGAGTCCAAGCGTGCACGCAGGGACCAGGAGAACAAAGAGGCCGTTGGGGGCATGCGCCGCCCGGTGTGGTCACTGGAAAGGGTCCCAGGACTTCGGGCTGTTGGCCGGGAGATTGACCTCCTCTTCGATGATTTCGTTCGTCGGGTCCCTGGTGCAGCCGCAGCCGCGGAGGGTTACGGCACCGAAGGGTTCGCCATCAAGCATGTTGCGGAGTGGAGGCGGACCCTGGAACATCACTTCGGCGTGGTTTCGCGCCCTCCTCCCCTCAAGCTGAAGAGCCTTCTGCACTCGAGTCCCCGGTCAATGCAGCGTTGTTGGAAGCGTGGACACAGAAGGCCAAGGACCCGGACCAGGTGGTTGTGGACTGGCTCCGGGAAGGGGCGCCCCTCGGCGCCAACCGCAGCGTCGCCTCCACTGGCATCTTCCCCCCAAAGGACGAGGATCACCAAGCTTGGGAAGAAGCCAAGGCTCAAACGATGGTGTGGGAAAACGCTCGAAATTACAGCTCCTTCTCGGACAACAGCGAGGATGCCGAGGAGGAGATGCGCCGCCTTGAGGACTTGGGCTACGTGAAGAAGCTCACTAAAGACCAGGCCCACGGCTACTTCACGGAACCCACGGTGTCAAAGCTGGGCTTGATTGTCAAGCCAAAGGCCGATGGAACAGTCAAACGCCGTGTCATCGTGGACGCCCTGAGGTCAGGCGCCAACCTTAGAGCCCGGTGCCCGGAGCGGATCATTTTGCCTCGGCCCCAAGACGTCTACTCCATGGCCGTGGACCTCAAAAGTTCCGAGCCACAGCTGCTGGAGTGGTACAGGGCACGGGGCATCCCCACCAGCGAGTGGGGCTCGGAGCTTGTTGCAGCAGACCTCACAGATGCCTTCACCCACTTCCCGGTCCACCCCACAGAACATGAGCAATGCATCTCCCCAGCCGGCGACGGGGAGCACTACTACGTGTTCGTTGCCATGTTCTTTGGCCACAAGTGCGCTCCTTTGGTCATGTGCCGGCTGTCGGCCTTGCTTACGAGGTTGATCCAAGGACTCTTCTGGCAGGCGGAACTGCAACTTGCAACCTACATCGACGACCCTCTCACGGCTCTAGTGGGTTCTCGGGCCCGCCGAAATCGAAACCTCAGCCTCACCCTGCTTACACTGGGAGCGCTGGGCATCCGGCTGGCTTGGCACAAAGGAGCCCGAGGGGCCCAAATCACATGGATCGGGGTTTCTTTTCACCTTCGCTGGCGCGAGGGGGCCCTCGAGACCGAGATCCCGGAGAAACTCCGCGACGAACTCCTCGAGAAGCTGGACCGTTGGGGCAAAGGAGGCATGGTACCCATTGCGCAGCTCCGCACCTTTGCCGGCAAGCTCACCTGGGCCGCGGGCATCTACAAGAGGGCCAGGTGGGCCGTCTCCGTGGTCTACGGGGCCATCACCGCACACGACAGGGAGATCAAGACGGGCGAAGAGGAGGCAAGACGCCGAGGGAGAAAGGACGACCGAGTCAAGGACCACCTGATACCGGTGCGCCGCTTCGAATCCGCCCGGCGCTGGCTGGCCACTTTGCTGAGGGAGAGGCGCCCTAAGACCAGCACCTCTCTGTGGAAGAAGCCGGAGGCCATCATGATCGTGACCGACGCCTCACCCCAGGGCTGCGGTGGCATGCTGCTGGTGCGGGCGTCCCTGGGCTCCCCGTGGAAGGTGCTCAAGGCCTTCGAGTACCCGATCGAGCCAGAGGACGCCACCTTCTTCGGGATCACACACATGTCACATAAGAGTCAAGGCTTCTTGGAAGCCCTGGCCGTCTTCTTGGGACTTCGTGAGTGGGGCAAGCTGGTCTCGCCGGTGAAGCTGGGGCTAGCCATCCGCTCGGACTCCACCGTCGCGCTCGCATTACTGGAGAAGGCCGCATCTTCCACCCCGGCTCTCAACATGCTCGCGGCCGAGATGGCTCTTCTCCTTGAACAGCTCCAAGTTGGAGAGGTGATCCTATCACACGTGCCGGGCAAGATCAATGTTTTGGCAGACTGGCTGTCGAGGCCAAAGACCCGGACCGAAGTACCCGAGCTTCTCAAGGAAGTCAAAGTGGTAAAGCCAAGGAAGCTGAAGCAAAGCGATTTTCCTCTTGGCATGTCCCAGACGCATGACGCCACAGAGGCGGGAGCGTCCTGGGCATCACTGAAAGGGTGAAGGTCACACACCGAGGGGTCGCTTTTCGTGTCTAAAAGTGTAAGCGCCAACACGTTTTGCTTTGCACTGTCATGTCCTTTGGATGCTTCAGGAGACCCGCCCGTACAGCCTTCATGTCAGGACGTCGCAGACCATGGAGCTCGTGTTGACAACCCCGGTGCCCGGCCAGCTCGTGCCTATCGAGCCGTATGACCCATGGCTCCTCGTGTGCCTGTGCATGACATGGACGGCCTGCACCTTCCCACCCGCTGCACTGTGGACCGCACCGCGACTAGTCATGCTTGGAGTTCGTTGGGCAGTGCGGATGTGGAACTGCCTACACAGGGGTTGCAGATGCTGCCGGGGAAGATTGTGGAGAACACTAGGGCCGCAGGACGATCCAGGACCCCAGCAAGAGCATCAAGAGCCTCGGTTCCCAGCACACCCTCCTCCAAAGGACAAGATCGAGAACACCGGCGAGAACAACGGTCGGGACAAAGGCCCAAGGGGAGGACCTCGCCCTCACCATCATCGGGCAACCTCCTACGCACGGCCCCTTACGGGCGCTCTGGCTCCGCGGAGGGCCCCGGATGGCGCTATGGGATCAGGACTTCGCCGACGGCTACACCAAGAAGATCATACCGACAACCGCCGATGGACGCATCGGCCATGGGGAGAGTCGAGGCTGCCCCCTCCGGCATCCAAGGAAGCGGCAACCCAGACGGCAAACCTCGAGCGGCCGCCTGGAACGCCGGATCCGGGCTATGGGCTCACCTTGGGCCATCAGTCGACTCCTCTGTCAAGGCTTATGGGACGCAGCTTGGCCACCGACGGCAACCAGACTTTCAGGACCTGGCCCTACGAAGGGTAGATGGCGACCGCAAACATAGATCGGTTCTGGGACGCACCCCGGCTCTGTTCGCTTCACCCCCACTTCGAGTGAGAGCAACCGAGCCGCAGAAGGCCCGCGAAACGGCGGGAACCCTGGACTACGACGTCTACAAGCCCAACAACGGCGAGAAGTTCAAGAAGGCCCTCGACATCGCGCGCAACCCGGACACCTTGGCCACCGCGGTGGAGGAACTGAAAAGCAAATTCTTCGCCGACTCCAACAAGGCGCCTCAGGCCAGACGGGAGGGCGATGTCCTGGAGCTCGCGACGACGCTGGCTAAGACCTCTCATGCCTTCCCGCTCACCCCCAACCTGGTGGTCGAGTTTGGTGCATCGTTGCGGGCAGCCGGCTACAAGTCAGGTGAGCAGTACCTCGGAGCGCTCCGCATTGCGCACGTGGAGCGGGACTTCGCGGTCACTCCGGCTCTCAAGCGGGCCTTTGACTTGGCCAAGAGGGCCCTCTGCAGAGACAAAGGCAAGCCGGACCGGGCCCCAGAAGTACAACTCTCCGACTTCCCCGCCGACTCCCACATGTTCGACCTGATTCCGGAGAACCTCGCCTTCCCGAAACTCACGTATGGTTTCGCCTTGATGTTCATACTAAGGAGATGCGAGGTCGAACGCCTGCGGTGGGAGGACATCACGTTGGCCGAGGACGGCTCCCAGGTCACCGTGCACATCCGGAAGTCGAAAGTGGATCAAGAAGGAAAAGGTGTGTCGAGGACTCTGGGCTGCACCTGCCGCTCGGACCCTACCAACTGCCCTGTGGAGCTCGTCAAAGCCTTAGCCGCGTCCTTCGACAAGAGCATCGGAAGGCGCGAGGGGAAAGCTTGGATCACGTCGTCCACGGAGGGCCACCAGGTGACTGAGGACAAGCTGGTGGCGGCGTGGGCCCGTGCGGCGGGCAAGGCCCTTCGAGGACACAGCCCGCGGAGGTCGGGCACTATGTTCTACGTGAGAGCAGGCTTGTCCATCATGCAGGTGACCTACCTCGGCAGGTGGCGCTCAAACTTGGTCTTCCAGTATGGGGAAGAAGCTTGGGAAGGTCGTCCCATGAACAAGCCATCGCACTCCGAAGTGGAACTCCCTGCTCTTCTTCCCCCTCCCGACTTGCAAGCTCCACCTCGGCGACCTCCCCGCGGGAAGCCAAAGGCCGCACCTACGGAACCAAGGCCTTACGAGGACCAGCTTCACTACGCGGAGGAGCTCAAAATCACCGAGCCGAAGTGGGTCCGAACCTCGGGCCGCTCCAAAGTGGTTCACCTGCTCGGCAAGCACTCCGACGGCTCCTCGGCTACATGGAGAACGAGATGCGGGTGGCCCTTCGCGAGGACCAGCCACTTCACTTTGCTGGTCACCCCGCCACCGGGAATTCCGAAGTGCAGAAATTGCCGAATGAATTACGATGGTTCCCGCGGCAAGCCAACTGGAGTTAAAACTGCGGAACCTGGCAAAGACTGTGGACCGGAGGCCACCGTCGTCAACGCACCGGAAAAGAAGTGATCTCTGCCTTCTCTGAGGGTGGAGGGCGGGAAGTGATCTAGCATTGAATGCCGTGAAACGCATGAAATGCGTGAGGGGCATGATTTTGCAGATTGGGCGGAAGGGCGGGAGCTGCAAACAATGCTGCAGCCGAGAGATTGCTCAGGAGCCCAATGCAGGGCTTAGCAGCTCGAGGGCTTTTAGTTTCCCGCCCGCCCACCCGGAGTTAAAACTGCGGAACCTGGCAAAGACTGTGGACCGGAGGCCACCGTCGTCAACGCACCGGAAAAGAAGTGATCTCTGCCTTCTCTGAGGGTGGAGGGCGGGAAGTGATCTAGCATTGAATGCCAATTGGGTTTAGGGTTTAGGACTTAGGGTTTTGAGTTCGCAGGGTTTAGGGTTTCAGGCTTTCAGGGTGTAATTGTGCTTCGATCCGAGTTTACAGGAGCTGTAGCGATCGGGACAGCCAATGGGACCGCGGCCAGGTACTTAAACTTTTAGGGTTAAGGATTTGGGGTTTGGGGTTCAGGGTTTAGGGTTTAGGATTTGGGGTTTAGGATTTAGGGTTTGGGGTTCAGGGTTTGGGGGTTGGGGTTTAGGGTCTTGGGTTTGGCTTTAGTATTTAGTTCCGACGCTCCAAGGGCCCCACCGTGGGCCTTGAACCCTGAAGCCCAAACCCTAACACCTCTTCAAGAAAGCTAAGCCCCCAAGTACCCGAAGCCCTAAAACACTAGTCACTAGCACTATGAACAAGTTAGGGATTTCATCGGAGCAGCCGAGGCCTTTGCTCCTATTGAGCCGGATATGTCAGACTGGACAAGCACAGTGCGTGCCATGAAGAGGTCGGGACAGCACCTTGGCCAAGGGTATCTGCAGATCTGATTTGGAGATCTACGCATTCTGTTCGTTTCCCTGGATCTTTTTCCTTCTTCCCCAAGCAGCGCGGTAACACAACGGGGTTCTTGCGTTGCGAGTCGCGCGACGCGAGCCGGCAAAAACCGCAAATCCGGTACCCGCATCCTACTCTTTGCACAAGATGCGTCCGGCGCGCGTCTCCCGCGAGGCTGCGGTGCATACTTTGTTCTCGCGCTTTTTGTTTGTGGAGGACTCGTGTGCGGCGCACGCCCGGGGGCCACGATCCATTGTAAATGATAATTTCTACATGGACCACTGTTGCTCTCAAGAACCTTGAATCGCAGCAGTTTTTGGTGGAAACGATTCGGGGTATCCCTCTGGATCCCACAAGCTAAGGAGGGTAAGCGCAAGTCTAGTCTAGTGCTCCCGAAATGCGCCAGTGCTTGGGGGAAAACAGTTTCGCACAGGTCCTCGAGCCCGCCTGGGCTTGTTTCGCAGTGTTATGGGGGTCTCCTGTGATATAGCCTCCCTGGTGCTTTCTTGGTGCTCTGCTGCTGGTTTCCTTGTTGCTCTTCACTGTTCGGGTATCTATGCTGGCATAACTTCAACACCAGAGCACCCAAACCTCCCCTCAAAGCCCGAATGACTCAACCCTGAACCCTAAGGCCACAGCACTTCAAGCCTCACGCCCCCCCGTTCTGAGGATTGCGGAAGCATTTCTGGGTCTCGCAATCCGGGAATTTGAGCATGGGGCCACAGGACCGGGGTTTAGGGTTTTAGAGTTCAGGGTTTACGGCTTGAGGGTTGAGACGTTTCGGGGTTGAGGGGTTTCAGGGTTTAAGCTTGAGGGTTTAGCCTGACACCTGTGGATGTCAAAAGGCGTGAATTGTGGTTTCCTTTCAAGGCTTCAACATGCTTCAACATTACTACACAGATTTAGGGTTTGGGGTAGTTTGATGGGAAGGGTTGCTACATGCTGTTGGGGGGGAGTAGAGGGCTCAGCTTTTTTCGGGCTTGGGACCCAGTTTGGGGTTTTAGTGCTTGGGTTTTTCAGGTTTGAAGGATTTAGGGGTTAGCGTTCTAGGGTATGGGGTTTTGAGAGGTTAGGGGTTGGGTTTCGAGTTTCGGGCGAAGGAAAGCCGCTCGCTTCCTCGCCATATCCACCCACCCCTTCATGGACTATTCTGTTTCAGGGTTTTGGTAGTTCTTTTCCAGTTTGCGGGAATTGCACGGGCAACGTCAATGCCACATGTGTGGTTGAGGTGCCAAGCTAGCCCCTTCCAGCCCTCATCCTCCTGTAGACTCCTCGCTGGGAGAAGGCGTGGCTGGCCGGGCGGCCCTCGAGTGGGGATTTGTGAAAAAGGAGTTCAGTTTAGAAGGGCGTAAGCAGTAGGCTGAGGTGCCTTCATAGTTTCAGTAGGCGCGTTGGAGGTTTGGAATTTAACGCATCCAGCTGGCAAACGTCTTCGTGAGAGGTTCGCGAGGCTTAGGACATGCCGGGAACTTGGGCAGTTGGCTTCAGCCTGTTTGGGATTAAGCTTCAGGCGTTGGGAGCTCGTTTTGCTCGGTATTTCGACCGCAAAATAAATCCGGCCGGCGTGTGCAGGAACCGAAATGCAGACATGGTTTGGTGCTGGTGATGAGACAGTGAAGAGGACACTTATCAGATTCATATTCGGAGCATTCGGATCGGTCGAAGCATGAGTTGCAGCATTAGCATTGCAGCCACATCTCTGGTGTATTCCACTATGATGTCTGGCCAGCTGCTATGACCAAGAAACATGTACTTGCAGCGTGAGGGGGATACATAATAAAGGTGTAGCAGCAAAAGACCAGCATGCACGTGGCATCTTCGTTTTGCCCAGGAATGTTCGGATGACTATGAATTCGGCGGCTGACATTCTTTCCAAATCGCACTTCGTCTACCCCGGCCCTTCGTGCACTGACAAGCAACTTGCTTACGTCCTTCCAGACGGACATGACTGCAATAGTCTCCAGCTGCATGAATCGAGCATTCCCTGTGCTACCTATTTCCAGAAGTTTGTGTCCCAGCCTCAGATTATGCATGGGAGGATGCGAGACTGTTTTGGAGCTTGCCGTGGGCCGGTTTCCTGTGTCAGTGTGGCCGTGCCTTCCGAGGCTCTACGTATGCCCTTTGTTCTTGGCAAAGCCTTCGGAGCAAGTGCTCACATTGATACATGAGGCTTCGCATCATGCAGTCGCAGCTTTGCTTGATTAGCTTGGGCGAGCCCAGCATGGAGTTACCCGGACGGGATAAGGTTAAAAAGGGCAGTGGTTCACCGAAATCCATGTTCCTGCGACCGTGCAGGCATTCACAGAGGATGTTTGTGCAGATCCGGCCAAACCCCCGGAAGAAATGGACTGCTCTCCGAAGGCCCATGAAGTGCAACCGCAAGAAATCGCAGCCGTAGTGAGAAAAGTACCATGAATCACACTGGTATGTTCCGCGAGCTAGGGAGGGGGCAGGGGGGTTATTATGTTGATTCAGAGAGCTCGGCCCTTCCTGCGAGGGCTACGGGAAAGAGAGCTGCAGATCGCTTGCCGAGCACATGCCGGCCAGAGCGTTGATAAACGCTGATAGCTACTGTCCCTTGGATGACAAGGAGGGAGGGAAGGTGAGCATGTGCTCGGCGTTGGCTCAACCGAGGCTATTTTGTGCAGGCCCGGACCCGAGTTTACAGATCTTCACACTGTCCTTCCCAAAGCCAGAGACATGGAGGCTCTTCTGGGTCACAGCTTTCTGAGGATGTTGTCAGCCAGAGCGCCTCCTCCGAATGGGTGCCGGCGTGGTCTCGTCCTTCAGCATTCGCACCCTTCACATGTCCAGCCCTCTCGGTGCCCCGTGGCTTCTCGGACGAGCTGGAAAGATTTAGTGATCTGTTCAAGTATCCGTCCAGCTCCTACGTTCTGCACTAATCATCATTCGCCGCGACCAAAAATAGATGAGAATCCTGACTGAAGACTGGTTGGTGATGACAGTCCGATGTGTCGATCATGATAACCATGGTCACTGAATGTCACTGACTGTGATTATGGTTTCGATGACAGTCCCATCCTGCCGTTCGCGATTCGGATGGTGGTGACGATGCTGATGTCGATGACGGTTATGACGATGTTGTTGGGAGTGGTTGTTGTTGTGGTGGTGGTGGTGGTGGTGGTTGGATCATGCCGTGATGACGATGATGACCTTTGACGATGCTGTGCTGGCTGAGACAGTCATGTCCGCAGGCGATAGTGACTGAAGACTGTTGTGGAAGATTGAAGCTGGACTGCGACGCTTGTTGGTGTTTTTAGACGGTTCTAGCCGTAACGTATTCGACTGGTATAAGTTGACAAGTTTTCATCGTCAATGCCCAGGTTCCCTTTGCCGTTGCAAGACTGGCAATCACTGCTTCCAGGGTGGCGCAGAAGGGTGCCAGCTCGCGTCTGGTGTTGCCAAACTTAGAGAGTGCGAGATGTCAGCCGTAGGCATGCCTTCGGCAATGGCAAGCAGTATATAGGGGTGACTATCCAGCAGTTACCACCGTGCGGCCCAATCCGGACTGCCAACCAACTAAGCGCATCTTGATGACAAGCCTACTGTTTGGCTTCCTTTGACTCGACTTGACACATGAAAGCTGCTTTGTGACCCCACATATGGGGCCCTGCAGGTCCAGCACCAGCTTGGTGTATTCCCCGCGACCTGGCAGCAGGGGCCCACGGGCCAGGGTGGGTGCCAGTACGTGCCAGTAGCCCCAGCGGCGTCGACCCGTCTTGAAGGCAGAGCTCCACCCTTGCCAAGTGTACCTTGTGATTTCCAGGAGCTCAGCTTGAGCACAGGGCATTGCAGCTGTCGATCCTTTCTCTCGTGCCGGAAGATGTGCGGAACCAGAAGTTCATCGAAGCTCCTGCCATGTCCCCTCGCTTTTACACAAGGCCAACGTGCCGAGACTGCCGTTGTGCACGTTGTCCACTCAATGCCCTGGGCTTAGGGTTAACAGCTCCTCTTGAAATTCCCTGTGGTTTTCAAAGCTTTCATGCTGATGCAGATTGTGCGGCCTCGCCAAGTTCTAACCTTTCGTAAACACTTGCGGAATGTTAGCGAAGATGGCAGTATCCGGGATAAGCCCTTTAGTTGAAAATAACGGTGGAATCCATGCAGCAGAGACTCACAGAGAGATGTCCACCTCTGTCTCGTCTACCTAGACGTAGACATACATTGAAAATGTAGGTACATACATACGCATACCTACCTAGCTGCATACGTGCGTACATCATGACATAATATATATATATATATATATATATATATATATATATATATATATATCGCATTTCTCGCATTTGGGGCACAGGCTCCTGTTAGGCTGCAGCCCTTTGGCTTGCATTAATTAAAATAGACCGGTGCGGATCCCCAGTTTGCGCTCGCAGACTACTCAGCAGTGCGCGGTGCAGTCATCTGGGCGATCGCACAGTGAGGTGTGCAAGATGCTGTGCATGAAACCGGTAGCACAGAGCTCAAAAACCGTAGCACTAGCAACACTACACACCCAAAATCAAAAGGATGCCGCACCATAACGTGCGCATGAGCTGCACAAGAAGTCGAAATGAAGCTTCAACGTGCAATGCGAAGCAGGCCAACAACTGCGCAGGATATTCCTCATGGGTATGAATGAGGCAATCCCTGCACAACACAACTATGTAACGACATACCCGAGATGCCGGAACACCTTCTTTGGAGGTGATATATTGACATCATAACAGAAACGCTAAAAGCTTGAGCCTTGTTCCCCATGGGGCAGAGAGGCAAACTGCAAGCTTCAGGCCCCGCATGGCGTATTCAAACGGCCATGCCCGCATGTTCATAGAAGTGCCTTCGCACTCGATATGAAGTGCACTGACTGTGAGCCGTACTCAAGAAAAGCATAGTGGCAATGTACGCGGCTTCCGCTATGCAAAACACTGTCTGGCTCCTGCTCGAAGGCTGAGTCTCACAAACTTTCTCCCAACAGATGCCAACCAGCATGCAGAAGCCGGCAATGGTTGTCCCCAGGCCAGCTCCCACATTGACTAAATCAGCATCCGCAGCGACCACGCTCAGAGAACATGCTACATCCTCGCCGTTATGGCCGATGCCAGCACAGCCCTCACAAGTTCCGCCGCTCTTCTGGACGGAGTCTGCCTGCTTGACGAACCCGTTGACGCAAAACACGTCTAAGACGCACAGAACAGAAGCATTGAAGATGAGACTTCTGCTGAAAGCAATCTCCGGGGTAGTATGTTTGATGAAGAGTCCATGTAAGTAGACATCACCAGCTTGTAAGCACCAGCAGGCCGTCACAGCGCCGAGCGCCCCAAAGTACTCGTTGAGGAAGCTGCCAACGCAAGGCTTCTCATTCCCAGTAGGCCCTGCCTTATCTTGGGACTGCGCCTTGACACTGTCGAACGTACCACTGGCCTCAACGTCCAAGGTGGGCGTCAGGATCTTGACAAAGATCTGCATGCCGCCTCGCATGTGCGGCGCCAAGTGAAGGGTCGATTCCTTCTGCAGGTTGTAATCCGAAAGAGTACGGCCGCACTCAAACTGCCTGCCAGCAAAGATCAGGTGCTGCTGGTCGGGCGGGATGCCTGCCTTAATTTGGGACTTCGCATTGACTTTGTCGAACGTGCCACTGGCCTCAACGTCCAACGTAATCGTCTTGCCTGTCAGGGTCTTGTCAAAGATCTGCATGCCGCCTCGCAAGCGCGGCACCAGGCGAAGGCGTGCCTTTCATGGCACTGGGGCTACCGTCAGTTCCGCGCTGCTGCGGCCATTCGAGCCCTATATATATATATATATATATATATATATATATATATATATATATATATTTGCATATATAATACCTACATTCGTACATACAGAAGTGCATACACGCAGACGCAATTATATGAACAAAGAGGTAAGCAAACAAGTCTATGCTTCAATCCTATGTGTATATTACACACCCGTTTCGTATCCTGAGATATCCTGAGTAATGAGAGCCGGAGGCGGCTACGGTTGCTACATGCCTGTCTGTCTGTCTGTCTGTCTGTCTGTCCGTCTCGCGCTTTCTCTTTCTCAATCTCTCCCCCGCAAGATTGTACGTACGGCTTCTGCTATTTGTGTTCGCTGGCTGCGCCTCTGACTCTGTTTCCTCTAGCTCCACAGTCGGTCCGTTAGTCCACGTCTCTCTCACGCTCGTGGCCATGTCACATGCATGTGCAGTTGAGCATGTGGAAGTTCAGAAAATGTTTGGGTTTCTTGAGCTTCAAGACAACCTAGGCTCGGCTGCTTCCTGGTGGGGTCTGCGCCACTTTGTCTGCAGAGGGGAAACGTCTTGGGTTCTTAGCACGGTCGCCAGAGGACGAAAGAGCGAAAGAGGGTCTAGTTTGGGGCCCTTCAGTTTTCTGTTGCAGATGGTGGTAGCTTTCGCGACCTGAGGGTGTTAGGAGTAAGAGCAAATTTGACAGGGTTTGGGCTTAAATCCACTGCCCCGTGGTCAGTCCACTGGAGTTTTGCTTGCCATGTTTCGTCAAGAGGGGAAGGGTCTCACCACAGGTTCGCAACTGAGCCGCAACTGCATCTCTCTGTGTGGATGGACCCACTGATCCTCAAACCGTGGTGTGCTAGGTTCTCTAACCCGCGAATTGCGTTGCTCATCTAGCCACATGTTCCCAAACTTGAACTAACAGACCTGTGTCTCGCATAGGAATGTGATGAGCAATTCCATTGCTCGAGCACATCTGGTGACGGATGTGCTGCAGATTCGCGTGACTTGGCCACCAGGTTAGCTGTGATCATGTGCCGGGAGAAGTCCTGGGATGACGCAAGCTTGTCCCGAATTCCGACGCTGACTCGGCTTTGGTCCGAGGCAAGTTCTCAGTTCTTGGCTGTGAGAGCTGCTTCTGCGAGCGGACTCCGCAAAAATCGACGTCGCACTACAAGGACCTGAGCCTGTGTGCAGTGGGTTGTGAACGGCTTTTGACCCCTCGCCTCAAGGAGCACCGTCGTTGCACTGAGCCATGTGGCTCCGTGGTTGCAGGCCCTGACGGGCAGGGCTGGGCACGGGTTTTGTGGTGTCGACACGGAATCTTCAAAGGGAGTCGTAGGAACAGCCTCTGCAAGATCTAAGAACTCCAGGCATTGCCGCATGTTGCGATGTCCCTCGCAGGCTACCGTTCACTCATGTCAGCTGCTACAAGGGATGGCAACATTTACGTGGTACATGCGCGCGCGCAGCTTTAACGCTGGGATGGTTGAGTTGTTGTGTCAAGGCCGACGGCTGGACGAAGACCGGTGCGCACGGTGCGGCCACCTTAGATTTGTCTTGCTGTATTTCCTGTTCAGTGCCAGAGCAGGCTGTTCCCTGTCTCTACTATCCAGCCACGCATTCATCCATCCATTCATCCATCGATCGATCTATCTGTATCTGTCCATATACCTATCTCCATCTCTATCTGCTCTGTCTCTCCCTCTCTCTCTCTCTCTCTGACTCTCTGGCTGTCTATCTGTCTTTCTGTCTATCTTTCTATGTCGATGTGTCTGTCTGTCTGTCTACCTGTCCCTCTCTGTCTCTCTCTCTCTCTCTCTCTCTTTCTCTCTCTCTCTCTCTCTCGCTCTCCCTCCCTCTCTCTCTCTCTCTCTCTCTCTCTCTCTCTCTCTCTCTCCCTCTCTCGTCCTTCTCTGGATCTCTCGCAGTTCTGCGTGAACATAGCTCAGAGATAGAACCATACAACACTATAACACAGTTCAGTAATCCATAGCATGTAACTCATGCAATGTCAACGAAAGGAGTTTCGTGCACAAACATGTGATGCAGTGATGCATCGAGTAAAACGGCAGCATGTACGCTTGCATGCCCACAGGTATGAGGGCAATCAAGTGCGAACAAATGCCTTCGCCCAAAAGCAAGTGCGAACCAGTCACAGTATTTTGGACCCTTTTGGAGAACATCTTAACGGAACAGAACAGAACATTTCGACTACATGGACTTCATGCTGAAGAGCTTGAATCTGGATAGCTGGATAAGGCGACGGCGCGGAGTTTTGCGACATCTTCGAGTGCACGTTGGACGTGTGCAAAGAAGCTTGCCCACTTGGGGGTTTGATGAGAAAACAAAGGACCCGAATATGAACCCTCAGTAGCAGGCTTCGTGCAAGGACCCCCTTAAGCTAGAGAGACCCCTTGTTGTGAAGCCATCCCTGTGTCAAGCCGTCGTGAGGCATCATCCAGGGACCAAGGTAAGGATCCAAACAGACCAGTGCTGCAGTCTTGAATCGCCACCCGATGGGGTCGTTGATGGGGACACCAATGGACCACGTGCCATAGCTCCCTGAGCATGCTCAGGCAAGGGGAGATGGCAAATTAGCTTTGTCAGCTAACCCTAAACCCTAAAGTGTAAGCAGCTGAGGGTCACCAGTGTGGAAACTTCGCGTATTGCCAGCCCTGGGCCGGCAACTGTTCTGCAACCATTCCCGGTGCATAGGTTTTGAAAAAAACATAGGTTTGTATTTTTTTAAAAAAGGTACAGTCTCTGGGCTGACAAGGCTGTGAAAGCCTGGCCTCAGGAAAACCGCAATGCAGATGTTTCTCACGGTATCAGCAGACGCCCGACGGCTGCCGCCCTATGATAGACGACGACTACAGATGCTGCTCCACGCACTACACGCAGGGAGCTTAGCTGTGAAGCAATCCAAGATTGCACGGTATCCAGTGGTCAGTGGTCATTTTACTTTTCCAGACTGTATTAATGTACGATTACAATAAACTACATCCCCGGGCCAAAATACATTACTTTTTTTGATCTTTTTTGTTCTGCAGGAGGCCCCAGGGCTCACATGTGTTGGAAGTTTATGGAGAAGAGGGTGGGGGGCTGCGTCTTGTATAGCATGTTGAAGCTAGTGGGTCGAACTATCAGCCCTTTGCAGTACTCTATGACCGTGACGCCTCTTTGATGACAGGCAGCCGCTGATCCGGGCTGTTTGGGTTCCTCGCGAATGGCAGGACACGATATGGTGGGTTAAGCATATTTGCCCTACTGTAGAAGGCTTCAAATGGCGGAAAGCACCAACGAGACCTGCATGCACTGGCAATGCTTTGTGTTTGTTTCTCCTATTTGGAAGGTGCGAGGCATTGACTTGAATGCTCGTTTTGGACGGCAGAGAAGCAAGTGCTCCTGCAATAAGTGGCTGCAGTGCAGAGGAACTAGTTGAGCGTCTAGGACATGGAGAGAGTCGCGTTATTTTTTGGGGGGGCTGGCAGTTATTGCCGCTTGACCGAGGAGTGAGTGCAAGGGCACGATCTACAAGCATCCCGACAACCATTTCCTCGGTCTTGAGGGCGTGGACATCTGAGAATCGCTCGTTACAGCTCCCCGCCTCTCTAGCTGTAGCTGTTGCCCTGGAGGGGGCAGACGCGCATGCGAATGCGCTCGCAAAGCCACCGTTGCAAAAGGGTGGGAGAGAGCATGCAGTTGCTGTTGGTAGAAGCAGTAGCATCTTTTGAGCCAGCAACCAGGCTTGACTTGACTTGACTTGAAGCTTGATTGGTCTCGCGTTAGACTTCGCTTTATTAACGTTGTTGCTTCTTCTGAAGAGTAATGTGTGCGTGCGTGTGTGTGTGTGTGTGTGTGTGTGTGTGTGTGTGTGTGTGTTTGTGCGTGTGTGTGTGTGTGTGAGAGGGTGTGTGTGTGTGTGCCTTCGTTTGTCTGTTTGCTTGTTTGCTTGTGTGTTTGTGTGTGTGTGTGTACGTTTGTCCACACCTTTACACTGGGCTTCAGCATGGCTTCCCGGTGATTTTCTGCGAATATCGGCTTGAAAGCATTGCTTCTGCAGCAGGCCAGAAACCTGATCTGCTTTTCGGATGTTTTACGGATTCGCCCTTAGCTACCCGCCGCCCAAGCTTTAGCTGTCAACCTTGATTCGCGATACGGTGTTTGAAATGCAATGTAGTTGGTGTATTGAAGCAAAGGCGCCTTTGTCGCCAGTGCTTCTGTTCCATCGCAGGGAACGCGCTCCCAACTTGCTGGGCTCTTGTTAGATTCTACCTGGAGCGCTGCCATGCTGCGATGAAGGCGGTGAGGCGCCCCACGCCAGCCTCCCTGCAGACGCACGCCGAACCTGTGAACGAGGCGCACAGTCCGTCCGCCAGTCAGACAGACTCACACCGAGCACCCAAAATTGGAGGTTTCAGAAGCAGCTGAGAGCATTCGACAAGCACAAGCTTTGCTGATCTGCGCCGGGGCCGGTGCTCCAGACCTCCCGGAAGGTAACGATGCAGGCCTGGCCTCGGCTTGGTGTAGCTGCAAGCATGAAGCATGTCGGGTGAGATCCCGTGCTGCAAAGCTTCAGTCGTGGCCGTCTCGGCCTTTTGCTGGTCAGGGGTCTTTCAGCGACCGCCGCTCAGCACGGTGGCCGGCAGCTTGGAGTATGGCATCCCGGCGCCAGGACGAAGCCCACAAATAATCGTAGCGTAACGACCGTAGCTGACCCAGGTGTAGATCTGCCTTCTGAGCTCTCCGCTAAAGGAGTTTGCAGCCCGCTGCGCGAGCTCTGGCGAGAGCCGACTGCTGAGTTATCAGCTTCTCTACTCGGACAGAGCTGTTGGGACTTTGCATCGGCTGTGCTTGCCAAGGCACATGCAGGCTGACAGCGCAAGCTTGTTTGACAGTGCCTTGGCTAGCAAGGAAGCTCTCTCCACGAAGCCCGAAGCACGGAGATTTCCAGGCCCAAGCGCTCTGTCGCACCCGACCAGGTGATCCGGCTCTTGCTTGGGCATTTTGGGGCTTTTGGAGCCGGCGACACTTGGAGATGCAGCCGGACGATGCCAGGCATGCAATCATGCCTTCACGTTTCTTAAGGGAGCCACGGTCCCTGTTCATAACATTGCATTGCTGAGGATCATTCCAGGTAACTCGCAGGGCCCACGATATAGATCAGCCCCGGCATTCAACAAAGCCCCAGCCCCCAAGCAACAACTCGCAAAATGAGCCCCTAAACCCATAAACCCAAGGCCCTCAACCCTAAACCCTTACCCCAAAGCCGTAAAACCCTTAACCCCAAAACCCTAAACCCCTCTTCTGCTTAGAAGAAACTCCTCAAGTTCCACTACACTCTTCCGAGGAGGGCTGTCGCTCCCTTTCAAGCCGGGGCCGGTCTATGAAGCAAGGCGAACCCGAAAAGAAGAGCTTAGGATTCAGAGCATTTAGGGTGCAAAGGTCTAGGGTTGAGGGGTTTAGGGTTTTAGGGTTTAGGGGTTAGGGTTTAGTGTTTATAAGTCTAAGTTGGGTTTAGGGCAACCTTTGAGAGGGCGTCACGTTGAGATGAGTACGTACAAAGGGGAGCTTTGTATTGTCAAGCTCATATGTATTTCGGAGAACAGCATGTGGGTTTTGGATCGGCTTGAATGGTCAGAGGGCTGAAGCAGTTGCTGCAGATGCTACTGGCACGGGTCTGCAGCTGACACAGACGTCTGAAAGCTTCGTAGCACCCTGTGTCAGAGCGTTGCAGCTACAATCCCGCAAGGCTTGGCATACATCCAAACTTCAGACGGTTGCCTGCCTGTGTTGTGTACTTCACTTGACACACAGCATGATGCGAGCCTCCAGACACTGTGTAAGCAAACATTTGTTTGCAGGATTCTTCTGTATCACATCGACCATCGATGGGCATTGGGCACGGGTGGTGGGAGACGAAAGAGTTTGGGAGCTGCGCGGCTCTGTCTCATTCCTGCAAGCTGGATGCACTTACAGACTTACAAGCTTGAAGCTAGTAAATGTAGGCTTAACCCCCGTGCCCATTGCAAGATAGGCACAAGTCTGTCTGCCTCCTGGGAGGCAGCGCGTGGACGGTACGAGCAAGATCTGGCGGGTGGGCGAGGGAGACGGGGCGGCCCAGCAGCTGCTCTCTGCAACTCGATGGTAATCGTGTTGCTGCAGTTCTGGGGTTGTTGAAGTCTACGGTGCCATTGGAACTTGGAGGGTGTCTGACGATGCCTCAGAACACCGGAAGCCCGAAACGCCGGAGCGGGACTGGCCAACATGCCCCATGTTCCATGGTTTCTGGCTTTGGAAGGTTTAGGGTTTAGGGTTTTAGAATGTTTATGCATTAGGCAGGTTGCATGGGCCAGATTGGGGCAAGCAGTCGAAATCCGACTATAGACTGCTGGAATCAAATTCCTGGACACCCTTCGGCGCGAAGCCCTCTGAGCACCGAGGGAGCTCGCCAGAGCTTTGCAGCTGCCGCCTCCTCCTTGGCCTCTCTGGTGGGCGCCGGACCTGAGCCTAAGTCCGACTTGGAAGGCCAGGGGGCTGTGAAATAGGACCGGTTTAGAACCTTTAGGACTTTAGGGCCCTAACTCCAGAGGGCACATGTCATTTTGCTCAGAACTGGAAAGGATTCTGCTTTGCTTCTTCGCTTTTCTGGGGCCCTGCATGGTTTTGTCTTTAGGGGCTCTTTGGGTTTTCATGGTGCGTGGAAGCCCAGCTTCGGGAGTTCCGGGGAGGCGGGGTGGGGGGGGGGCCCAGAGCCGAAGATGCGAAACGGCTCAGGCAAAGAGCTCCCTGCCACGCTCCCTTTGGAGCTGCCCCCGCACTTCGACCTGCGGCCCGGGGAGGCGCGAAGGATCTATAAGGCTGTGAGGGAGGTTCCTTAGAGGGAGGAGTGAAAGGTGAGATTCTGCATCGATGCCGAAGGGGGTTCGCGGTCTTCGCACCGAGGCTGTGGAGGTCCGAGTGCTGGAGGCTGTTGAGAACAGCAGCACCTACGAGTGGACCCCGTGGAAGCGGGCCGTGCCATGTCCGTCAACAGTAAGATGCACACCCTGCCACCAGGGAAATCATCGTCGTTTTAAATGATGATCTCTTCTGCTGCGTGCGGCATGCAACGGAGCTGCTGCTTGAAAGCGCTTGGCAGAGCGCTTTCCCAGGTGGCCGCCGGCTCCTTCGGCATCGTCAGCCCCTCGGGAGCGCCCTTGGCTGCTCATGCGGTTCGAAGGCCAAAGGGGCAGGACCTGCTCCGCGTGGCTGGTGAGCTGCCGAGGCCCGATGTGCAGTGCCACAGCGCAGACAAAAGCCACGTCTTTTAAACTGCTCCGTGCGCAGTGGATGACTTGCAAAAAAGAAATGCTGCCCCAGGGACCCGGCAGATTCTTCATGTTTGGCTCGCCCCAATGTCGACATGCGCAGACCTTAGAGCGGATACGGCTGAGTGCCAGTGCTCCACACGGAGCATGCAACTCTAGGCTTGTGTGCAGATTATATAATCATATAGTCATATTAACATGGCTACCCAACTTGCGCGTTCTCGAGGCACGGCGACTCCAAATTCGTAAGCTGGCGCTGCGACAGGCTCCCGGTCTACTGTACGGTCTCGAGCTTTTTGGGAGCAGCCAGTCTCATCTGACAGGCAGGAGCAAGCCTATTTCCAATGGAGGCCTGCGGCAATGCCTCGGTGTCTCGAAGCATGCAGCCGCAAGAATCGGTCCTACTCGTGTGAGGTGGGATCAAGATGGAAGGTCCACACCATTGACAACAACAGCAACAACCAACAGCAATAGCAACAGCAACAGCAACAGCAGCAACACCAGCAACAATAACAACAACAGAAGCCCATACACCCTCCCAGACTTCACCCCTCGGACGCCTAGACAAACTCACCAGACCTCCCCACTGGCCTTCCGCTTGCCCCCCCCCCTCCATCCGACAGTTCCTGATGACACTTAGTTCAAAATCGTAGCAGGCCTTAGCCTTAGCATGCCATAGCAGCCATCACAGCGTTCCGTGTGCTGCTGCCTTTTTGCATCCTCTGAAGAAACATCCTTGTTACTTTCAAAAACATGCTTCCCATTGTCTCCTCCAGGTCGTCGCTGCCAAGGAGCTGCCGATTGGTCGTTGTGGAGGTAGTGGCATTTGCCAAGCTTTTCCTTGTAACAAAAATCCCATCATTCAGGGTCTATGCTTCTCGAATCTGCTGTCGTCTTCAGGGAAATGGAGGTATTTCAAAGTTTTACATGGCTTCTCTCGAAGCTAGCGAGCGCTCTTACGTGACCGAGCCGATGCCCTCACGACCTGCGGCGAGTCCACGCCTCCAAACCTGACCCCGCATTCCGCAGCACCCAAACCCCTACAGTAAGCCCCTTACCCTGAAGTCCACAAAGCCCCTACTGCAAACCCTAACCACTAAAACCCCTGAAATCCTCAACCCCTAAAAACCCTTCAAACCCCGAAAAGCCCAAAAAACCCTTCGGAGTTGGAGGTGGGGAACTGGAAGAGCCCGGCCAAGCTGTTGGATCCGGCCGACTTCCCTGGGGCCACGCTGGTGCGCGGCCTGGCAGCTCTATAGTTTGGGGTTAGGGGCTTAGGGTTTCGGGTTTGGTGTAGTGGGGTTCTCATACGTAGTAGAAAGAAATGCAGACATGAATAAATGTGAAGAAGGAAATAGATAGTACACAATTTATGTGTACATACACACATATACACGCATTATGATACATATAGAAAGGTTCTCGGCATAGTCTGTGGGGTTTAGGGTTCGGGGTTTCGGGGGAGGGCGAGGGGTGATTGCTTCATCATCTTCATCGAAGCAGGTGGTAGGTCTGGAGTCTGGAGTGGCGCCCGCACGGAGGATTTAGGATGTTTTGGATTCCCAGCAGCAACCAGCTAGCGTTTGTCGATCCCTGGGAGGGTTCGTATAGGGTTCGTGCGGATGTAGATCGTGAACGTTGTTCCACAGAAAGGAACGAAAACTGCGTTGCACTTGACTTCAAGACTTAGAGAGTGCAACATCACTGAGCTAGAGAAGCCTCTTCCATCCCCTGCATAGAGGCATAGAGAGCAGAACGCTCTGGCCTCAACGGAGTCAACAACGAGATCTCTGGGGAAGATTGTGAAGCCGAACATGACATAAGCCAAAGAACCGGTCATACTGCTAGCATTCACGAGAAGGCGCTTGTCCGCAGTCTCCCAGGCCTTGGAGTGGCTGGGCGAGTGCCTGAACCGTGGAAAGGCCGCTGCTGGAGAGTAGCCGGAGACTGGAGCTCGGCTCTGCGTCAGCTTTCGGATTCCCTTGGGCCCTCAGAGCTGCGGTCAGCCGCCAGCGTTGAGAACACGCCGAGATCATCTGCAAGTGTGCAGGGAATGGCTGAAGCTCAAACTGCAGAGGCCAGTGCCCTGGCTGCTGTGGTCTCTGTCACAGGTTCCGACAAGGAGGAGGAGAGGGGGCCTGCTCCTACAGACCCGAAGCGCAAGAAGTCCAAGGCAGGCAAGGATGGAGGGCTGAACTGGGACGATATCCCGGAGTACGACATCGATGAAGAAGATGCTTTGGACAAAGTCATGAACTTTGCAGCTGGTGTGTATACGCGTGCAGCTGGGGCTGTTGAGGCCATGCAGCCGGATTCGCAGTCAGACGAAGGCAAAGAAAGTGACCACAGCGAAGTAGGCGGTGACGGCGACCACAGCGAAGAAGGCGGCGAAGCCGACTCGCAGAGTTCCGCAGCTCCAAGCGTTCCAAGTAAGAGACAAAGCCGGCAGAGCGGTGGAGCCGAGTGAGAGCTCCTCAGACGACCACGAGGAGTATCCTTGCGGGAAACTCCCCGCTCGGCGGGGCGGCTGCTGCCACAACGGAGAGGCAACGGAGTGAGGGAGGGAGGATGACCGGCCCCCGCGCGGGCGTTGCCGTCCCAACCTGGCTGCACCTTGTTCACAGCCGCCTGCATCGCAGACCTCCAGGTACAGATGCGCACACTTGGGATGTTCCTACTTCGTCACCATCTTGGATTTCGGTGGCCGGCGAGTGGGCTACATAAGGCAACGAAGAAGTCACAGCAGCAGGAGAGATATCCTGCTGAAGCTTTTAAGTTGCTTTTAAGTTGGCCAAGAGGTGCCGTGCCCACGCGACGCCAATTTTCTTTGCGGGTCCTGAAGCGGAACGCAAAGGCCCGATTTAGTGCCGCCCGTCCCGGCCGGTCCTTCAGAAGTGAAGTCGTTGCAAGAACTAAAGGGCAGAATTCCTTCGTGGACCCAGAGAGACACAGATTTGCGGGCTTGAAGAATGGATAAACGGCGAGACTGCATCGGAGTGCCCATGAGGCGGCAAAGCCGTGGGCCAACAGAGGGTCGAGGAGCAGCAAGCCTCAGACTCAAGTCAAACCTGCAGGCGGTCCAAGCGTTGCTTTAACGGCTCCATAAGGATTCAGGGTTTTGGGGTCTTCAAGAGTTATAAGTAGGTTTGGGGGCATAGTATGGCTTGGGGACTATGAGGGATATTGCTAGCAATCAGTTCATGTTTTTGGGGCTTTGGGTTTAGGGCTTCGGGTTTTGGATTTCGGAGCCCTGTCAGGTCTTTGTCGCTCAGTGTTTGCAGCTTCCAGAGGGCATCATCGAAGGACTTGAGCCAGCAGGCGCTCACTCAAGCGACGGAGTTGCTTATGGAGCGGTTGCGCTTTGCTGAGGCGAGGCCTCTTTGGGGCAGCTTGTGGGCTGGAAAGCTTGGTTTAGCCATCTCTCAGTCGTGGCTGGCAGCGGCGGCAAAGTTGTGGGGCAGAGAGCTTTCGGACAGAGATTTCAACTTTTGGATGCCCTGCTTTCACGGAGCCCGCCACTTCGTCACTTGCCCTTGCTAGACAGGCTCCTGACACGGACGAGGAGATGCTGGAAAAACGAGCACGAGGCAGTGAAGCTGAGCAACAACGCGAACCTCCAGGGTAAGGATCCCGAGTTGAAGATGCACTGCACCCCAAACGAGCTGGAGCAGAGACAGCGAGCTTTCCTGCTTCCGTTGTAAGCCGGAAAAAAGCCGGCAAGCATGAGGATGCAGCCTTGAGGGTGTATGTCGGAACCAGCAGGACTTGACAGGTCTCAATTGTGGGTGGTGCTTGCTGCGCGCGACTGTCTCTCTTGACATTGCTAGGCCTTTATCATGTTTCCGTACCCGAGAGAACGTCGCATGGTGGCTGTGGACGTCGCCCTGTCTCCGGCGACGGAATTGAGCTGTCTGCAGCACGTCAGCACGCGTGCACCCTCAAGAAAAAAGCTACTTCTAGGAAGGGAGATCAGAGGTTCTAGTCTCAGAAGCCTCATGCTCAGCGACCGAAACTGGGCCCATGTCGCTTCAGTCCGAAGGGCCAGTTGAGCCTGAAGACATGCAGAGTTCAACGATCGGCGGCGGAATGGCAGCCTGTTGGAGACCTTCGCGAAGCCCTGAAGCAAACTAGCATCTTTCCTCGTGTCGGTTGGGAGGAATGACGGCAGATTCAACCGTAGAGAAAATCCGTGTTGTACTATCGATGTTCCTGCTTGGCCGCGTCGTATCTGCTGTGTCAGTCAGACGGTCTTGCCAACGAAACTAAACGATGTGGGATGCCGAAGGTACCGACCACGAGAAGCACGAGGCAGCGAAAAGCTCAATCTAAGCCCTGAACCCCAGCACCCTGAAACCCTATACTCGGTTGCCGCCGCCGTGTGCTGCTAGGACGTTGTCGGCCGCTGTGCAAAGATCGCAAGTAGGACTCTTCAACTGGTCAGATGAGGTTAAAGGCGAGTCCATCAGTCTGACGAGGCCGTTAAGAAGATTCAGAAGAGGAAGCCCGCACACGCATTCCACCCTCATCCGCCACATCACCAGCAGAAGTTACCCTCCACATCCACATGGGAGCTTCCGAAAATACTCCCAAGCCCCAAACTCTAAACCCTATAGATCCCTTTAAGGACCCTTGAAGGAACCCTTATGTTAGGGGAGCCCCTAATGGACTCTCCGACTCCAACCCATGGTCCGATGCGCTGCCGCTGCACGCTTTGGGGTCTGCCTGCTGGTCCTTGGCCTTGCAGCCTGGAGCCTTGGGCGGATCAGATCCCATAGAAAAAAACGGGGGCTGATCTTTTTTAAGCGGGCCTGAACCCTGACTTAGGCCCTAAACTGTACACGTTAAACACCCTAAAGTAGGAAGTCACCCGAAGCCGTCGTGAAGCCGTAGCCTTGGCTCGGGAGGCACGGGCTGCCGAATTCGACGGCATCCCTTCACCTGCAGCAGATGCCCGGCCGGTTGAGTCGAATCTTTTCTGGGCATCTGTACCGCTTCGGAAATCATCCGAGAGAACTTACAACACGTTCCTAGTATTGCATTCTTTGTCGCTCAGTCCTAAACAAAAACCCAAATCCCGACCCAAAGACTGGTATTCCGGACATCACCGTACTTTCATCCCTACAATCCCACAAGAAGAATTACAGTAAGACCAATAGCAATAATCATCATCATAATTGTGACTAGTGGCAACAACGGTACTAATCATAATGTTTGTAGTTAGTAGCAACAAGTTTTTTTAATCATCACAAAGTAATAGTAGTCCTGCAGCAGCGAAGGATTGCTGCCAAGCTCGCCGTGCAGGCCGAGCCTTCCGAGGCGATCGAGCCGGTTGTCTCAGAGGTTCCGTGGCCTGAGATCTTTCGTGTTTTTTGGAGTTATCATCATCATCTTCATCCTCATTACTACTAAGAGTAATGTTATTGTGATCATTGGTTTGTATCTGTTTGCACTGTTCTTAGGCATTCTTGTTTAGTGAATTAACCTACGAGGTTGTTTATCAACACATATTGATTTTGTCATGGTTCAACAGAGTTAAGGGATCGGAATAGTTAGCAATCAGTGTAGGGCTTTGGGATAGCGTAATCGGGTCTTATGCTTTATCTAACAGGGGTTGTATTATGGGGCTTTTCAGGGTTTAGGACTAGTCAGAGATACTATCCCCTTATTGTCCCTATATACCTATTCGAGAGTATATATCGAATTCCTCGTCTAGTCCCGGAGGAACCCCTTGCACTCTTTGTGCATGTATTTGTATGTCAAAATGTCGATCTCGGAACAGGTAGAACAGTGCATATACATGCCTCGAAGCATACATGCCATGGACCTGCACATGCTTTAGATTTCCTACTTCCTCTCTCTCTCTCTCTGTCTCTTTCTCTCTCTCTCTCTTTCTTTCTCTCTCCCTTTCTCTCTGCTGCAACGCTCTGCGCCCCAGATGTTGTGTTTCGCTTAGCAAAAACTTCCCGAAACCCAAGCTGGCCAAAGACCTTACCCTCAGCCGATGCCGACAGGCATCAGAAGCCGCGACAACCTCGGCTGCCGAGATCGAAACGACGGCCGAAGTGCTTCGATGGCCGTCCCCAGAGACGTTTCTTGGTTTCTTTTTCTTGAAAGGGGGCCTGTGACTATCAGGATTCTGTAAAAATAATTTCGACAAGGGAAAAATCAGGGTTCTTGGACCTGAGGAGCTCTACGAGTCCTTCCGTGGCGCCCACTGCTGCGCCGCTGGATCCGATTCGGACTCGGCCGGGAAAATGTGCCGCGGAGTTTCTGGAGCCCCCGTGCGAGATGTTCAAGATGATCAAGCAGCTCGGAGTGCTTGCTTTGGGGGGTTTGGGGGGTTAAGGCCCCAAATTCTGGGACTATGACGGGAAACTGTGTAGAATTATTCCTAAACCCTAAACGAAACGAGCTTCAAGTTGGAGGTATGGGATGTCCAACTGGCGCGACAAGGAGGTCCGGCAAGGACAGGTCGATCTGGAGACCTCCTTCACCAAAGACGACAAGAAGGAAGCCTTGGTAGGCAGCTTCGGAGGACGACTTTACTTGGTTTACCGGGAAAGACCGGAGCGCATGCGTGACGCCCTGCTGAATGGTAGAGTTTTGCATTCCTGATGACAGTACTCGTTTAGCACCACCGAATTCCAAACTGATGGTAAAAGACCTCTGCAAGGGTTCGTGTGGCTGACATATTTGCTGACATATTGCTTCGATGCAGCAAGGATTCAGTGGTTTGGTTCGAAGTGCTGGACTTGCTGGCAGAGACTTGGATCGTTTGGTCCGTCAAACTAGGTCCCGGAAAATGGATGCCTGCGCTGAGATCAGGGCATTGGGCACACCCACACACAGGGTCTAGGCGCTAGTCTAGCCCGGGCTTGCCTTCCTGGATGTTGTCTTGTTGCCTTCTCGCCCTCTGTCGAGGAACTTGCTGCGCAAGTGCAGCTGGACGTGGAGCCCCTAGGCCGAGAACAGCCGTCGTGGTTGGTCGTGGATTCGTTTTGATGCCGCAGATAAATCCCTAGAAGCACCGTCAAAAGCTTGGGTCCTGGACCGCGTTTAGCAATCCTGACCGCTTGTAGGCTGACAGCTAACTCGCAACAATCTCATTGTGTGGAGTACAGCGGGCCGGGATTGGCCCAGGTTCGTCATACACACCTCTGACGTGCCAATGGTGGAGAAAAGTGCCGACAAAGTTTGCGGCCACAAGGACTGCTGGGAACCGGGGCAAGGTAAATTCACAGGCTTTTGTTGGATGAGGTCGAAGATTGGGCTGTCCTTGGCACACCCGCAAAGGGGGGTCCGAAGCTGACGACGACCTTTCAACTTTTGCGCGGAGCCGAGCTCCTCAAGGCATGTCGAAAGGTCGTTAAGCACCTGTTGATGCCGGAGTATGACCAGTTGCAGAGGATCGCTTCGTCTTCTCTGTCTCTGGCGGGCCTTTGTTCTGCGATGTGGCGCTCGGTCCTG